CACCTGTGTCAGTAGAAGAAAGAAGGACTCTAGTTCAGTTCTATTAACCGATGTCCTGATGAACTGCCAGGAAGTGGGGAAGCCAGTTTTAAGGGCCATCTACTTTTGTCTGTTCATTCAGGTATTCTTCCAAAGACATGTCATTTCTTTGTTTTAAAGTATTGTGTTTAATCACTGGGAACTTATTTTTTGTGAAGTAATACTGTGTCTAAGTCGCATCTTGTTCCAGATGTGTACTCCATTTATTAGCTCATCCTTTCCTTGCTATGTGGAAATGATATCATTATCATACATTATGCTTTCTGTCCATCTTTGGGAATATGTTTATGCTAACACTACACTAATTTTATTTTAATGATTTTATGTTTTTTTTCTGCTATCTGGCACATCAAATCATTGCCATTATAGTATTCATATTCAAGATTTTACTGGTTATCCTTCAACATTTATATTCTCACATAGATATATTGATCATATACTGTGTATAGAATGTCTTAAAATAATTGTCATTATATATTATGTTGGGAAAAACTAACATTTTATGTATCAAAATTGTCTCATTCAAAGCAATGTATCTTTTCTCTGTGCATATTTTGGTTTGCTAAATGGAATACTGTATTGAATATACATTCTGTTTTTTCATAGATTTTATGCATAATAACTAATGCTTTCCTCATTACTATCGGAAGTGTTTTATTTATTCTCCCCTGAGTTCTTGTTAATAAGCTAGGGAAATGTAATACTGTTATTGACTATTTCATATTCATTCACTTTCATGAGTTTAGTTGTGATCAATTATACCTGCTAATTCCAATTGTAATGACATTTTTGAATTTTCTAGTTAGAATATTACGCCATCAAAAGGGGACACTTTGTCTTTTGTGAAGTTTACTTCATTTGTTAAGTTCTGTATATAATTATGAACACTAGGAGCTTAAAGGCAATAGTAAATGACAAAGATAACCTTTCAGACTTACCTTATGGTATCTATTTGCCTTCAATCAGACTTATTCATCCAACTATATTTCAGTCTTACTGTTACTTCTCTGTCCCAGCTCCTTGGGGCCATACTGATCACTTCTTTTATTTCCTTCATACCAAGAACTTAATACATCAAGTTATTTTCTTGATTTTATATATGTGTATATATATATTTATATACACATGCATATATATATAATATGTTTAATGTGTTTCAGTGAAAGATTGGGAGGATATTATAGAGGTTTTATTTTTTAACTCAACTTTTGTATTTCTAAAATAGAGTATGTGGACTACTTTAAGTGCTCAACAAAACAGTTTTAATAACTAAAGGAGAATACTGATGGGTTGTAATTATATATACATATATGAGTGGACATATATATTGTATATATATTTGTGTGTATATATATAATTCAGAGTCACACCATTTCTCATTATCTTTACTGTCACTGTGTTAATCTTAGGCACCATGAATTGTTGCCAAGATTATTGCAAAAGCCTTCTAATTTGTTCCCATTCAGTTCAATCCCCAAACAGCTTCCAAATCTATAGAGTTTAGTGGGAAGTCACAGAATGCCAACTCTTGGTTAACAGCCCTCCAGTATTGCTCCTCAGGATTGGGTACTGCTTTCCCTCTATGCTTTGAGTGGTCCCGCTGCTGTGTCCCCAGTGCCTTGGGAGTGAAGCTGTCTGTTCTTGCTATTTTAACCACCTGGGTGATGCCTTTAGAGACAAACACAAACCAATCCCTGCTGCCACCCAGATCCTTACCACCCCAATTCCATCTACATTCTCTTGTTCAGTTTTTCTTTATTTCACCTCACAGTAACTAACACATATCAGACATATGTTAACTTGATATTATATTTATTATTTTCCTCTTCATACAAATTAGATGTGTCAGAAATTTATTTTTTTACTCCATGTCTGCATTCCTAATGATGAAGAGTATAGAATATGTTATACATTTAATAGACAACATAGTTCTTCATATTTTAGTAAGCTGTGGATCTGTTTTCATGAACTGGTTCTATCTACCACCTTTTGTTGTTGTTGTTGTTGTTGTTGTTCTGTCTTGGTCATGTTTTTAAAAGAGTTGTATTTCCTTTATTAAATGAATTGGGAGGTCTTTCATCTTTTTTCCTAAGTCCTGAAATAATTTAACTTTGAAAAGCTCTCTTTCTTAAAGGTTATATAAAATGCATGTTACATAAACCTCAGCTGGGAATCCATCTGTTCTCGGTGCCTTTTTCAATGGTAGATCTTTAAGTGTCTTTTTCGAAACTCTTTTGGTAACTGATGTATTTAAGTTTCCCCTTTCTTCTTGGGTGAATTTTGGCAATATCTGTTTTGCTGGGAAATCATCCATTTCCTCTCAACTTTCAAATATCTTGTCAGAAAGTATATATATATAATGACTCTTTTAATCATTCTTTCCTGTATTTGATTTGGTATATAGTTCATTTGCTTCTTTTTTTTCTCTAAAACAGCTCATGTGGCACATGCACTTAGATGAATTCATTTTTAGAATGAATGTTAAGAAAAATAGAAAACAAAGACCGCGTGGATGGAGGGAAACAAGTCTCTTATGCACTGTCAGTGAAGAGGTGAGGTGAAGTTGCTGTGGAAAAGACTAGGATGGTTCTGCAAAATTAAAAATTAAATTTCTAAATTTTCCAGCAATTTTATTGAATGACATCTATCAAGAAGAATTTAAGAGATATTTGTATGTTGGTGTTTATAGCAAAGTTAAATATGATATTTAAGGTGCAAAGCGATGCAAATGTTCATAATCAATGACTGGAAAAACAAAAAAGTGCTATTTGCATACAATAAAATGTTATTTATTCTTAAAAAGGGAGAGCATTTTCGTGTATTCTCCAGCATGTGTGAATATTGAAGATATTATGTAAATACAGATATTATAGGATTCCACTGCAAATGGTATTTATTTTGGCATTTGTTACAACTATTTTCTTTAAGAAAGAGTTAAAATATTTTTGCTTTTATACTTAATTTGTAAATAATGAAAATATGTCATGCTGATTGTTGTCCTCTTTTCTAGTGACTTCTGAGTGGACACCTCTCTCTCTCTCTCTTTTTCCCCTTTCACCATCTTTGTCTTTTAGACAAATACATTTTTAAGACATTTAAGTTTCTGTTCAATAGATGTATACCAATCATGCCTGGTTCAAATTTATTTTTATTAACATTTTTTTTGAATGACGGGTCTCATCCACCACTTTATTCATCAAACACCTCAGCAAATGGGAGATTGCATCTGGAAGCTGGCAAACTGCTTTTGCTCTCATCCTCGCGGGACAGGAATCCAAACCCTTGAGCCATGACTGCTGACTCCAGGTGTGACTATCAGGACCCTGAGTCAGTGTCACACTCAGCAACTTCAGCACAAAATACAGGCAAGCTGATTTCTTGACCCGTAGCCCAACTGCTTGTCTCCATTTAATTAACCAATTGCTTGATTTTACTCAAAGATGCAGATTAAAGCACATGGCTGAATACGTAATACTAACAGTCTCTATAATTCGAATATTAATTTCTGATACACATATTGCAATAAAATTTTTCGATGGAGTATTCAAGTATTTTCTAAGATTATTTTAGCATCATCCTAATTGCAGTGAGCTTATCCGAGGTGAGAAGTACCCTTAGGGGGGCCGGCCTTGTGGCATTAAGAGTCAAATTGTCGGGCCTGGCATGATAGCATAGTGGTTAAAGTCCTTGCCTTGCATGCACCAGGATCCCATATGGACATTGGTTCTAATCCCAACAGTTCCACTTCTTATCCAGCTCCATGCTTGTAGCCTGGGAAGGCAGTCTAGAATGGGCCAAAGCCTTGAGACCCTGCACCCACGTGGAAGACCCAGAAGTGCTCCTGGCTCGTGGCTTTGGATCAGCTCAGTTGCTCCTGGCTTTGGATCAGCTCAGTTGCAGCTGCTTGGGGAGAGAGCCATTGGATGGAAGACCTTCCTCTCTGTCTCTCCTCCTCTCTGTATGTTCGCCTTTCCAAATAAAAATAAACAAATCTTAAAAAAAAAAAAGGAGCCCAGTTGTCTGCAATACCAAGACCCCATATTAATGCCTGTTTGAGTCTTGGCTGCTCCACTTCTGGTAAGTTCTCTGTTAACATGCCTAGTCAAGTAACAGAAGATGACCAGATCTCTTGGGCAACTGTTACCCACATGGGGGACTCAAATATATCTCCTGGCTCCTGGCTTCTTTCTGGCTCAGCCTTGGTCACTGCAACTACCTGGGAGGTGAACCAATAGAGAGCAGCTCTATCTCCTCTCTCTCTCTCGCAATTCTGATCTTGAAAAATAAATTTTAAATCTTTTAAAAAAAAGAAGCACTTTCAGATTATCAGGTGCTAAACAGTAGGCAGAGGGCTATACAGTGGAATTGCTGGGTATTTGATCATAACCAGTTGACTTAAAAATATTGAGACACAGGGTTGTGGTTGTTCAGTCCCAATGCACTTCCAGACATGTGTTTCATTATGTGTTGATGTGACTTCACTTTATTTTTTATTTTTTAATTTTAGCAGGGCTCCATGAGTGAACAGGTGAGAGCTCCAAAGTAGTCCTTGCATGTGATATTTCAACACGCCATCTGACCTAGACCTTCCCCTATCAGATTAATAAACTGAGATTCAGGTTATTAATGAAGCTCAATGAGAGCAGGAAGCTAACTAAACTAAGAAAGCTGGAACTTTCTTCCACATTCTCTTGCTTTATTTTGCTTTCCTTTCCTTTTCTTTTACTTTCCCTTAAAAATCATCCCATGCCTCCTAGTTTTAAGATGTGATTAAGCAAAACAGTGAAAATAGGTGTTCCTTTCAAGGGTCTGGTGTGGTAGTCTTTGCCTTGTATGCACTGGGATCCCATATGGGTGCAGATTCTAATCTTGGTGACCCTGCTTCCCATCTAGCTCTCTGCTTGTGGTCTGGGAAGGTAGTGGAGGACAGCCCAAAGCCTTGAGACCCTTCATCCGTGCAGGAGACCTGGAAGAGGCTCTTGGCTCCTGACTTTGGATCAGTGCAGCTCAATAAAAATAAACAAATAAAAATTTTTAAAAATTTAAAATTTTTAATTTCATTTTTTAAGGATTTAATTATTTTTATTGCAAAGTCAGATAAACAGAGAATAGCAGAGACAGAGGGGAAGATCTTCTGTCCGATAATTCACTCCCCAAGAGACTGGTGCTGAGCCAATCCAAAGCCAGGAGCCAGGAACTTCCTTTAGGTCTCCCACATGGGTGCAGGGTCCCAAGGCTTTGGGCTATCCTCGATTGCTTTCCCAGGCCACATGCAGGGGGCTGGATGGGAAATGAAGCTGCCGGGATTAGAACCGGTGCCCATCTGGAACCCCGGCACGTTCAAGGTGAGAACTATAGCTGCTAGACCACCACGCCGGATTCAAAAGATATTAATTTCAAAAAGCTTAAATCTAAACAGTATTTCCTAAACATTCCAATAGCTGTAATTTCATCAAATTATTTCATGTTTATTTAACTGCTTTGTGTTGGCTAGATGACTATTCCTGGAATAGCAGGAGAGACGGCCATCCTGCATGACTACGAACAGAGTAGAGCACTTCTGTATTTCTGAGTGTGAACCAGACTTAACACAAGAGTTATGGATGTGAAATTATTGAGCGAGGGGTTCAGTGAACTAAATAAATTAGAGGTAGAAAATGCATAGAGTGATGCGTTTGCTGTTCCTAGGGGCCAGGTAAAAGTGAAGCTCACGCTGAGCTCCTTCCAAGTTCATCTTGTAGGAGAGTGCCACATGTTGGGCTCCCACCAGGCAACTGGAGACACATCTGCTGGTGTGCTTCCCTCAGGAGGGAGTTCCCTGCATGCCAGGCACTTCCTTCAAATTCTCCACAGTCTGCCCAGCTTCTTTTAAAGTTCTTACAACACGAACAAACATTTCCTTACTGGTACTAGAAGTAGAGCTATTTGGCCTAACACATTTGTTACCCAGAAAATCTCCAAGGTGAATCATCAGCCCAGTGAGAGAGAATTTTCCTCTAGCAAAAAGCATTATAGGAAATCTCCTCTGTAGCAAATGGGGATTTTTTTTAATGAACTTTTTTTCTATTTGGACTTGTTTGGGTTTGTTATCAGAATCTTTATTTCAGGAAAATTTCATTTAATGCTCAACCATAATTTCCAAGTAAAGTTATCAGTTTAGATTTTTCTTGCAGGTCCTTTGCATTTCCAAGTATGACAGCAGTCAAAATGACACATTATCTGAGAACAGTTCTGATTTTAGGGCTTCTTAGGTCTGGTTCACAAAGAGCAACATATTCATTCAATTAAGACATGCACATGATGGGGTTATTATGATGATCAATTTTTTGTTTACATTTAGATACTTAAGAAGCAAAGAATGGTGGAGGAAGAGAGGGAAAATGTTTTCATCTCTGGTCTGGGAAGACCTGGAACAACGAACTCAATGCCGATGTCCCCCGTGTGTACCTGGCCCTCTGTTACTGGGTGTTACTCCCTTTTAGGGGGTCAGCATTAGCAGGAAGTTGCAGCAAGGAACTAGAGCTGCATATTAAACACATGTACTCTGAGAGGTTTTATGAGCACCCTAACAAGTGTCTTTGTTGCTAAGCTAAACTCTCACCACAGACATCCATCATTTCATGAAATACAGCCGGCCCTAGACAAGATCTATGGAAAAGTTCTGAAATATGGCTTACAATTTTCTTCTTGGAAGATCAGGAACTTATGAGGAGTCAGGAAGATTGAGCATAAAGAAATGATTCATTTAAAAGGCCTCATATAGATCACACCCATATTTTGATGTGGATGAACTGAATGAAAGAGTGGAGATAAAACTTGTGTCAATTCACCCTTGGCAAGCATAAAATCATGTCCTGAGGGTGAGAAGCTGCACTAGTAACAGCAGGTCAGAAAATGAAAAAAGTGTCACAAGGCTGGTGAAGAACATTTACATGTTCAACACCGGATGCAAACAAGGAAGAGAGCATGCTCTGCCGAGCGCTTGGGTCCTTTTCCTTTTGCACACGGCACTCGTACACGGCACCGACATGGCTCCATTTTATGTTGATGTAAAGAGTTTCAAGGCTAATATTTAATTGCAAGAGATCTAGAAATACTGATATTTATCAGTAGATATCCTGATAAATAAGCAGGTCTAAAAGGGTGAAAAAACATTTTCCTCCACCCCTCCACACAAAGATTCTACCATGATGATTTTTCAGTATATTCTTAAAAACAATGGAGAATGGAAGCAGATGATTGCAGAATAACTTTAATATCATGTGTCTAAGTGAGGTACATTGTGTTCTAGCCTTATGCAGATCTCATATTATCTGGACTGGACAGCATTTATGCTTATATTGGGGATTAGGGAGTCACTGTATAAAGTTTGGAGTGACTCAATTCAGTCCATAACAAGTGCATCTGCGTTTATTTAATTTTTAAAAATCTCCTTTTTATTTCCTTTTTTTTTTTAAGTGGGACTGGATAGATAAAGAACAAGGACAACAGAGAAAAATTGAGAGAGAGAGGGAGAGATTGAGAGAGAAGATATGGTATAATATTAGCATATATTTGATCACCCCACTAGAAACAGGGCTGCTACCTATACTTTTCATCCCATTTAAATATTTCTCGAATAGTGGGCATTCCATTTTGAAGCTGACATTTGAAAACTCAGAACAAAGAAGTTGGCTTGTTCATGGTTAAGGTAAGAAAAAAAAAATACAAAGTGATTTCACGTGTCCTTTGACAAAAATTGATTGAGGTTTCATATTTTATTTAAAATCAGCCAAATGCTTAGATTCGTTAGAACCCATGGAGGATCGGATAGGGTAGAGACAGAGATGATCTCCATCTCCTGGTTCACTCCTCAAACGTCAGTGGCACTGGAACATGGCCAGGATGAAGCAGAAAGTCAGGAACTCCTTTGGAATCTCCCATGTGGGTGACAGGGATCCAAGCATGTGGGCCCAAACCTGCTGCTTCCCGGGCACGTAGCAGGAACTGATCTGGAAGCAGAGGTGGGTCTGGATTCTAAGCATATCAGAATGGGATACAGACATTTCAACTGGTGGCTTCACCCACTGCGTCAAATGCTTGCCCCTCTCTACTTGAAACAATGTTTAGACTTATGAAAGAATAGAGTGTGTGTGTGTGGGGGGGGGGTGGATAGTGGTTCAATTTGAAACCTCTTCGTACTGCCAACTAAGCACCTGGTTTTGTCTTGTTAACATTCACATTGTGTGGTACATTTGTTAAAAATGAATTGGCAAGGACTGGCCTTGTGCTGTAGCAAGGTAAACATCTGCTTGTGATTGCAGTATCCATAGAGGCACCAGTTCAAGTCTCCGTTGCTCCGCTTGATTCAGTTTCCTTTTGTTATACCTAAGAAGACAACAGAGGATGGCCCAAAGGTTTGGGTCCCCATATTCATACAGGAGACCTGGAGGAAGCCCCAGACACCTAGCTTTGGACTGGCCCAGGTCCGTTCTTTGCATCCATTTGAGCACTAGACCAATGACTTGCAGGGTCTCTTTCTCCTTCCCTTTCCGTTTCCCTTTCTCTTTCTCTTTCTTTCTCGTTCTCTTTCTCTTTCTTTCTCTCTCTCTTTCTCTTCCTCTTCCTTTTTTTCTTCCTTGCTTTCTCTTTCTCTTCCTCTTCATCTTTTCCTTTCCCTTTCTCCACACCTTCCCTCTCCTCCTCCTCTCTCTGTAACTTTGCCTTTCAAATAAAAAATAAACCTTAAAAATATGCATTGATTGGGCCCAGCATGATAGCCTAGCAGTTAAAATCCTCAGCTTCCATGCACTGAGATCCCAAATAGACACTGTTTTTATTCCTAGTGGCCCCACTTCCCATCCAGCTACCTGCTTGTGGCCTGGGAAAACAGTCCAGGACAAGCCAAAGCCTTGGGACCCTGCACTCATGCGGGAGACCTGGAAGAGGCTCCAGGTCCCTGTCTTTGGATCAGCGCAGCTCGAGGTGTTGCGGCCACTTGGGGAGTTAATCAGTGGACAGAAGTTCTTCCTCTCTGTCTCTTCTCTCTGTATATCTGACTTTCCAATTAAAAAAAATAATAAATCTTTAAAAATATATGCATTGGTCAATCTTGATTGATTATTGATTAAAGATGTGACATACATTTGCTAGTGTTCATTCTTTGTATTGTATAATTTCATGGTTTTATCAGATATATAGTGTCATGTATCCTCTAGCATTGTTGGCTGGGTCAGTTTCATTGTTCTAATACTTCTCTGTGCTCAAACTCTCTGTGTCTTGCTGTGGACAGCTGAGAGAAGCTCATTTCTAGTGTCTTGGCTATCATCCCATTTCCAGATGATCAAACAGTTGAAATTATACCAGAGTATAGCCTTCTTCTCTGCAATATTTTTAAGTTTCTTCATGTCTTTTTTAACTTTCGATGGTTGACCCCTGGATAATGTTTCATTTTGCGTATGCGCCAGAGTTTGTTCATTCCTCCACTGAAGAATATCTGGTTGTTTCTAAGTTTTGACGGCACTTGTCATAAACATTCATGTGCAGCTTTTCTTGGCAAAGCGAGTTTTCAACAATATGCTACTAATAGCTAGGAAGATGATTGCTAAGTCATGTGGCAAGAACATGTTTAGTTTTGAAGGAAATCACCAAACTGTCTTCCACAGTATCACATTTGCTACATTGCAACAAGCAATGTACGAGGGTGCCCTTTGCCCCAGCCGATATTTGCTATTGTCTTTTGTTCTATTTTTATCGCTTAGTAGTTAGGTAGTGATACATTACTTTCTTTTCATTTAATTCTCTGAGGACATGATATTGAGAAGCACTGTTTCATACTTATTTCCTTTCTGTGGATCTTTTTAATGAGGTGCCTATTTAAATATAATTTCCATATTTAAATGCAAGTGCATGTTTTTTCCCTGTCTGGTTTTTAGAATCTTTACATCTTTTGGAAACTATCCTTTATTGCATAAAGTCTTTAGAAATATATTTTCCCAATCTG